AATGATACATCACGTATAATTGTGTTCAAGAATTATACGTTCTAATCTATTCATTTCAAATTAGTTTACATTAAGTCAACTAAGTGAAAAGTATGTGGACTATAGTTCAGTCTGGTTTTAAATACCTCGATTATTAATGTAACAAATTAAATAGGTTAGACAAAAATATTTTATGTTTTTGAAAGTGTAACCAATTCTCTATTTAATCGTTCTCTCTATAATTCCAATGCATTTGACCTATATACATATACACATCAGTTGTATGCGTCTGTAAATTCAACTTTGCAAACATTACCACATAACTATCATAAATGAGAAGTATACATAAATCTTAACTGATAAACTACCTTGATACATAAATTCATAATATGAATTACACTTTATTGAATAGATTTCATAAACATAAATTATTTGTTTGTATGTAGGTGTGTATCAGTGACGGTGATTTGAACATCAGATGCATAATTACTCATGATTAGTTCACCGCAGTTGCATAACAATACTAGGTTGAAAGAGAAATTCAGTGCATACAGATTAACAATTTCAGTCTAACTAAGATCTGTTCACGATGTAGAGTTCATGAAAATGTTTTAATCCTTAAAAAGCCCTATACTGAAAATAGTTTTCTGTCATGAAGTTCTCCCACTGGACCAGAATGAAATCGATAGGAAGGACTGCAGTTAAACCTAATAACTAGGTTTACTTTGATGGAAAAATAAGTTATCTACAAGCTGATTTTCTCCAATCGTCTATCACAATTTATCATATTTATTTTGTGCTTCATTTCTTAATTATACATAGGATTGTATCAATAATACGTTCTCGTTCTCTGTCATCACATCATATCACTGAGTCCATATATCAACTACCATTTTATCCATTGACTTTGAACATCGAAAATTCCGTTCAGCAACTCATATAATACTCATTCAAATCAGAAATCACAAGTTTGTTACTCATAGAGGACGCAACTACTATAACACGACAGTTTCTGTTCTGATAATCTTACGAGATCAATGTTACACGATTTTAATTGTATTTACCATTTAACTCTGTCAGGAAGGCTTATTTTGTTGGCTTAATACATCGTCTCGGTTTAAAGTTTTCTGAACAAAAACATGAGACAACCTTATAATAAGTGAATGATTTTGAACTGAAATTATTTAAGTAATGTAAACTGACAAGATATTCTGCACTAATGTGCATGTATATTTGAAACTTCTAGATAAATTGCTCATAAAGTGTTTGAAGTGCTTATAATAAACAAAGTGAACAGATAATTGGATAAATGTTTCGGTCAATGGTAATGACTTGGGTTGAAATAGTTGGTGAAGCAGGTATAAATTTAGTAGGTTCTACCACTTCTCTTGAAATTCCAAATATACCTTACTGATAATTGTCAAGTAGCAAGTGACTTGACAAAAGAGATCTTTAATTTCATTCAATCAACTGGTGTGTATTTAAGTCATGGTAAATTGTAAAAAGCACACGACCGAATTGCTACGAGCTTACTATATGCTTCGGATATGAGCTTCTTGTCATTATCCAATCTCGTCGATTCTTTAGGGAATGTCGATCTTCCAAGTAGATGAATATCATCTTTGGAAAGTTGTTTTCATTTGAGTTGATCCCATCAGGTGATATAATTTATTCCGTATGTTATTGAGATTTGTGTAGAACTATGAGGAGAAGGGATCGTTTTGACGAACTGTGAGAAATTCCTTGATTTACATATCTATCTGTGTATTCTCTATTGAACATTCATTCGACAGATGTTGGCATGTCTAAATTTAACTTAGATATCAATCAAACAATGGTTGATGATACACCGTTTTTCTTAAAACACAGAATGTCACGCTCTTACTATGGAGCACAGCCTATTTTTACATGGTTTCTCGGTAGAATAAAGTTTCAGTCACATGTAGATTCAGTTTTGTTGTACCTGAATAGACAGAAAGTATATCATTTGAAAACATTACTAATGAAATAGTTTACATAGAAGAGAGAAACGATTACTACTTCATAACTAAGTTCTATTAACAGTAAATAAAATTTTACTCGTTATGTTTACTTTGCCGATCAATTAACCACATTCTGATTCATGTTGATATAAGAAGAAAATTGTAATAATAAGACGTTTCTCAAAATTTTCGTTCCTAAACTAAGGTATATACTCCGGAATCGATTGTTGATAATCAACATCTCTACAACTATTCAGAAAGCAACATCAAACGGATATGTGGAGTGAATAAATTACATGAAGCTATAAGATGACAAACGTTCTATTTGTTAGTAATAATAATAATAAATTTATTTCACATCATTCATTTAGTTACAGTGGGGATTTCTCAGCATTAATCGTGTCATACTACAGAGAAAATGTTTCACTAGCATTCATTTAAATTGTAAGAAATGGACACTTTCAACAGTCTTCATCTTCCACTCGTATTCAATCATCGAATTTTTGCATCAATTCACTTCCTTCTGCTAGTAAATCACTAAACTAAGTGGATATAGGTTGTTCGCAGTAGTATACAAGCAGTGCGAGTCGTATACGGTAATTAAAATATTAGCATTATTAACGGTAGTTCACTAATACAAATCTGGAGATAGCGATTTCCATGGTTTCCACCTTGAATTTCACCTTCGGTCTATTCACCAATATTCAATGTAAGTACACTCGTTTCTGATAAACAAACAGTACAAATTCTCAATTGTTTCCTTTCTCACCATTTACTCCATAACAATCTGTTCAAATTGCATTCCTCTATGAACAAAACATCATAGAAGAAACATTTCTTGATTTCGTGAAATATTATATTGTGATATATCACTTCGAAATATCAGTATGAATCTGTTGACTATCATATTTAATAAATTCAATACTTTTGTGGAATACACGTTATCACGTTTGAGAATAATTTACTCGGATATGGGTGAATAAACATTGAACTGTTTGTAGATTAATACATGTTAAAAATGGTTTAATGAACGGTTTGCACGGTTTTGTTTCTTCGATGTACTCATGTGATTGATTGAAATTAACACGTGGTGGAAGTATTACTTAGTTAGTCATCATTGCGTGTTGCCAACAAACGTTAGAAAAATACGAGATAAGAGGGTAAACGGACAATTCTATCATGTTGCAGTTAAATGCAAGTGGTTTTTTCCTCAATCGCGTCCTATATCCCAGTGGAATCACATTAAATTATATTGTAATGGCAATAGTAGTTTAATAAAAATATATGTGGAACATTATTGGTGAAAGTCCCACTAGTAGTGCTCTTGAACATAAAAGACAAATATTATATATAAGCTCATATTGCACGAAATAGATTTCTCATCTGGACTACCGAAGTGGTACAACGAAGTGAACAACTCTCCTTCAAACCTTATGGAACCTGATTACCCACTGATTCATCAATACTTATGAGATTGATCACCACTCATTTCTTGAAAATACAAATCATTTTCAGTTGCACAGAAATGGTTTCTATTGTGTGCACCTGTCAGCATGTTGCTCAATAGATCTTTTTATTTGTTTTATTTATCTATTTATTTATCTATTCTAATCTACTCTGCTCTAATCTAATCTATCCATTTATTTCGTTGGACTTCTGATTAGTTGCCTCCTTAATCAACTTTTTACTCCAATTGTTTCCTTTGAAATATTTGCTCAATATATCATTTTACTGTGGATGGATTTAATTTTAGATGAAATTATATGACTTTGTCCTAAACGACAAATTTTCTTGGTGATTTATTTATTACATTTAATGTTTATTCATTGTTTGCCTTTGCAATAGACTGTGTTATTTATCTTTTAACACCTTCTATCAATAGCATTTTATATCAGTTTGTGATAGTGATTGTCATAAGCACATTTATTCTTTAGGAACATTGAAAACAAGAAAAAATTAGAACTTCCCTATATTTCTTTATGTTCAGATATTTTGTTATATAAACGTTAATTATGTTTGCGGTATATTTTATGATGTACATTATTTATTGATTTCAAAGTAAAATCACATTATTAGCATATTCTATCCCAATTAAGTTACTAATTTCAGTAACATATAATGTGAATTAGTTTTACATGGAGATAATAAGTAGGCGGATACAAATCGACTACAAGATATATGACCAATACTAGATTTGTTAAATAAATCCAGTTTTTGGTTTTAATATATGTAAATATATTTGTTGAAATGAAATCAGTTTCACTCGATTTTTCTCAAGGATGAAGGAAAACACCAGAACTGAAATCTCAAACCTTCATTATATTTCTTTTCAAGCTATCAGATTTAGGTATCATTTACAGTTATGCGCCTAAGTTAACAAGATTACTTTTCTTTTCATCTTCTAAAATAACATCTTGATTTATCTAACTTTAATTTATTTTTACCGTATAGAAAATTCCCAAATTAATCTTTAACGGCGTATGAATTAAAAATTTTCACATCCCCAAACAGAAACATTTTTCCCACTGAAGGACCTATAAAAGTTGATGAGAGCTGTGACCCGTAGTTGGTTTCCGTTTCATAATCAAACAATCAAGTTAATGCGTAAATGTTAACATATAAAAATACCATCTATCTATAATTATCTACTAATGACCGCACTACCAGTTAACTATTGACAGTCTACTACACTTTAGAATTCTTAGACAGTAGTAAATCATTCTCGCACACAAACTTCATATACACGCATGAAAGCTCGAAAGTTGATGTTTATCAGGTCAAACACACATCAAAATGTCTGGTTTTGAAATATTCTATCGAAATGTAATTAGCGACAAAGTCAGACACTCATTGATGTGGAAAATGAAATAGATCGGAACAACGCAGCCTATCCAATCACATGTGACAATAGATTAAACTACTCGGTGTATGAATCGTTCAATGATCACACGAGTAAATGCACATATCTAATAATTGGATCATTAATGCCAATGACCTTAATAATGAGCTTATACGCTCAATGACCCATTTGCACAAACATACACATTCAAACGTAAACAAAGTGAATCGGTAATGTATAAAAGGGAGAGAGTAATCCATTTGTAAGGTTGAAAGTCTCCATATCACGATGAAAACAATCTTCATTCTCTCTCTGGCTGTCTGTTTTTTCGCTGTTCAAACTGAGTAAGACAATAAATCTTGACATTACCATGTTAATATGAAGCTATATTTTATATTTAAATATACGTATAATCACTGATAATCATGGATATCTAGTGTAAATACGTGTATCAGTGAATATACGTCGACACTACATGAATAGGTTTTTATTTGTTATCAGTACAGTTTTTCATCGAGTTTGAAAATGCAAGTACCTTTAAATTGAAGGTAAAAATTCATTATCAGTGTTTTCACAGATATTCGATAAGCTACTGCCATAACATTAATCAAACAGGTTTAGAAACAACAGAAGTTTATTTCGGAATTGTCAGGATAATCACTGTGAACAGAATAACATATTTACTGTTCAGTTATCTGCCCCTGGATCGAAACTGTAGTGACTGCTTAGAATAGAAATAAAACGGTGTGTATGAAAAATAAATTAAATAAACGCTATCTATAGCACACTTTATTAATACTGTACTGGAATGTAAACTACTAGGTAAAATTTCTTTGTTTTCTTCCTTTCATTGTTTAGATGTAACCCCGGTTCAGCGATGAATAATTTGGTAGGTTCTTGAAATACAATACTCCTATCAATAACATTCAAAATTGTTCAGTTTCTGGAGGTTGCACAGACTTTTGGAAGCCTGAAAACATGCGCAACCAAAACCAATGGAATGGTGGAGGAATATTTCAAAGAAGATAATTTGGGTCAGAAAATGAATGAAGTTATGCAGATTCGTAAGTCCCGTTATCAAAATATCAGATTTCAATTTTATGGACAATGATCTCTACAATGAACTGATCACGAACGGCTAGACAGATAGATTAGATTAGATAAATTAATAAACAGATCTACTGATCAACATGTTGATAGTTGCACACAATAGAAACTATTTCTGTACAACTGAAAATGATGGATGGTGATCAATCCCATAAGTATTGATGAATCAATGGGTTGGAAATTTACATATGATGCACTATAGAATCTTTTGTCTAGTGATCAGATTTTGATAATTTTATATTCGTTGGAAACCTACGTCATGGACAATGTATTCTGGATAATGAGAATTTTTAATATGATTTTCAACTTTTCTTAATTTCAGTTATTCAACGATTGAATAGACGCATTAAAAAGATTTGCTCATAAACTCACACCAACCTGTCAATCAAGCAATCAGCCGATTTGTGCCGATAAAAATGGATGGACAATCAACCACTGAACATAATTTACAAGCGATTAATTATATTGTAACTAAAACATTTTTTTCTACATGTTTTCAATGTGTAATTTAATAAAATTTGTACACTGTGCACAGTTTGAATCGCTTTTGTTTTATCTGGAATTCAAGTTCAATTCATGCACTGATGTATCTGTCGTTCAACAATCAATATGTTGTTTCCGTGGTTCCATTCGTACAGAATAATTCATCTGGGACTTAAGGCACTAGTAAAATATAGTTAGTTATATGATCGCCATTCACTTACTAGTTGTGGATGTGATTTAATGGATGTTTGCTTCATTGCAATGTATTCTTGTGGAATTTATGGAATAATGAAAAATTTGACTTATCAGTCATTATTGTGTGGACGTGAGAAGGATGAATGCCACACACATTACTAGTCTTCATGCTTGGTTTATACATAACTATGAGAAATTCATCAGTCTTTGAGCTGAAACAGACTGATAGAAGTTGTCTACTAATTTTGATGATAATTTCGTAACTGTTCGTTATATACTGCAGTGACTTTACAGACGTAACATACTTAGATAATAAAGAGTAGGACGAGTGAGTTTCGGATTGCCTACATTGGTTGATTGATGTAATCAAGTTCTATAAAGTTTGAAGGAGAGTTGTTCACTTCGTTGTACCACTTCGGTAGTCCAGATGAGAAATCTATTTCGTGCAATATGAGCTTATATATAATATTTGTCTTTTATGTTCAAGAGCACTACTAGTGGGACTTTCACCAATAATGTTCCACATATATTTTTATTAAACTACTATTGCCATTACAATATAATTTAATGTGATTCCACTGGGATATAGGACGCGATTGAGGAAAAAACCACTTGCATTTAACTGCAACATGATAGAATTGTCCGTTTACCCTCTTATCTCGTATTTTTCTAACGTTTGTTGGCAACACGCAATGATGACTAACTAAGTAATACTTCCACCACGTGTTAATTTCAATCAATCACATGAGTACATCGAAGAAACAAAACCGTGCAAACCGTTCATTAAACCATTTTTAACATGTATTAATCTACAAACAGTTCAATGTTTATTCACCCATATCCGAGTAAATTATTCTCAAACGTGATAACGTGTATTCCACAAAAGTATTGAATTTATTAAATATGATAGTCAACAGATTCATACTGATATTTCGAAGTGATATATCACAATATAATATTTCACGAAATCAAGAAATGTTTCTTCTATGATGTTTTGTTCATAGAGGAATGCAATTTGAACAGATTGTTATGGAGTAAATGGTGAGAAAGGAAACAATTGAGAATTTGTACTGTTTGTTTATCAGAAACGAGTGTACTTACATTGAATATTGGTGAATAGACCGAAGGTGAAATTCAAGGTGGAAACCATGGAAATCGCTATCTCCAGATTTGTATTAGTGAACTACCGTTAATAATGCTAATATTTTAATTACCGTATACGACTCGCACTGCTTGTATACTACTGCGAACAACCTATATCCACTTAGTTTAGTGATTTACTAGCAGAAGGAAGTGAATTGATGCAAAAATTCGATGATTGAATACGAGTGGAAGATGAAGACTGTTGAAAGTGTCCATTTCTTACAATTTAAATGAATGCTAGTGAAACATTTTCTCTGTAGTATGACACGATTAATGCTGAGAAATCCCCACTGTAACTAAATGAATGATGTGAAATAAATTTATTATTATTATTACTAACAAATAGAACGTTTGTCATCTTATAGCTTCATGTAATTTATTCACTCCACATATCCGTTTGATGTTGCTTTCTGAATAGTTGTAGAGATGTTGATTATCAACAATCGATTCCGGAGTATATACCTTAGTTTAGGAACGAAAATTTTGAGAAACGTCTTATTATTACAATTTTCTTCTTATATCAACATGAATCAGAATGTGGTTAATTGATCGGCAAAGTAAACATAACGAGTAAAATTTTATTTACTGTTAATAGAACTTAGTTATGAAGTAGTAATCGTTTCTCTCTTCTATGTAAACTATTTCATTAGTAATGTTTTCAAATGATATACTTTCTGTCTATTCAGGTACAACAAAACTGAATCTACATGTGACTGAAACTTTATTCTACCGAGAAACCATGTAAAAATAGGCTGTGCTCCATAGTAAGAGCGTGACATTCTGTGTTTTAAGAAAAACGGTGTATCATCAACCATTGTTTGATTGATATCTAAGTTAAATTTAGACATGCCAACATCTGTCGAATGAATGTTCAATAGAGAATACACAGATAGATATGTAAATCAAGGAATTTCTCACAGTTCGTCAAAACGATCCCTTCTCCTCATAGTTCTACACAAATCTCAATAACATACGGAATAAATTATATCACCTGATGGGATCAACTCAAATGAAAACAACTTTCCAAAGATGACATTCATCTACTTGGAAGATCGACATTCCCTAAAGAATCGACGAGATTGGATAATGACAAGAAGCTCATATCCGAAGCATATAGTAAGCTCGTAGCAATTCGGTCGTGTGCTTTTTACAATTTACCATGACTTAAATACACACCAGTTGATTGAATGAAATTAAAGATCTCTTTTGTCAAGTCACTTGCTACTTGACAATTATCAGTAAGGTATATTTGGAATTTCAAGAGAAGTGGTAGAACCTACTAAATTTATACCTGCTTCACCAACTATTTCAACCCGAGTCATTACCATTGACCGAAACATTTATCCAATTATCTGTTCACTTTGTTTATTATAAGCACTTCAAACACTTTATGAGCAATTTATCTAGAAGTTTCAAATATACATGCACATTAGTGCAGAATATCTTGTCAGTTTACATTACTTAAATAATTTCAGTTCAAAATCATTCACTTATTATAAGGTTGTCTCATGTTTTTGTTCAGAAAACTTTAAACCGAGACGATGTATTAAGCCAACAAAATAAGCCTTCCTGACAGAGTTAAATGGTAAATACAATTAAAATCGTGTAACATTGATCTCGTAAGATTATCAGAACAGAAACTGTCGTGTTATAGTAGTTGCGTCCTCTATGAGTAACAAACTTGTGATTTCTGATTTGAATGAGTATTATATGAGTTGCTGAACGGAATTTTCGATGTTCAAAGTCAATGGATAAAATGGTAGTTGATATATGGACTCAGTGATATGATGTGATGACAGAGAACGAGAACGTATTATTGATACAATCCTATGTATAATTAAGAAATGAAGCACAAAATAAATATGATAAATTGTGATAGACGATTGGAGAAAATCAGCTTGTAGATAACTTATTTTTCCATCAAAGTAAACCTAGTTATTAGGTTTAACTGCAGTCCTTCCTATCGATTTCATTCTGGTCCAGTGGGAGAACTTCATGACAGAAAACTATTTTCAGTATAGGGCTTTTTAAGGATTAAAACATTTTCATGAACTCTACATCGTGAACAGATCTTAGTTAGACTGAAATTGTTAATCTGTATGCACTGAATTTCTCTTTCAACCTAGTATTGTTATGCAACTGCGGTGAACTAATCATGAGTAATTATGCATCTGATGTTCAAATCACCGTCACTGATACACACCTACATACAAACAAATAATTTATGTTTATGAAATCTATTCAATAAAGTGTAATTCATATTATGAATTTATGTATCAAGGTAGTTTATCAGTTAAGATTTATGTATACTTCTCATTTATGATAGTTATGTGGTAATGTTTGCAAAGTTGAATTTACAGACGCATACAACTGATGTGTATATGTATATAGGTCAAATGCATTGGAATTATAGAGAGAACGATTAAATAGAGAATTGGTTACACTTTCAAAAACATAAAATATTTTTGTCTAACCTATTTAATTTGTTACATTAATAATCGAGGTATTTAAAACCAGACTGAACTATAGTCCACATACTTTTCACTTAGTTGACTTAATGTAAACTAATTTGAAATGAATAGATTAGAACGTATAATTCTTGAACACAATTATACGTGATGTATCATTTAAACATTTATATTAGTGATTAGACTGTTATTTGATGTTACCACGATTGATAGATTTGTGTATTCTTCACTAGGTTGATGGTTGAATTCGAGGTTAAATGCGAATCTCAACTGTATTCATGTCATTAGCTGCTGTTTAGTAAAGAAAAGCGAATTCTAAGAATGATTTTCAACATTTGTAGAAATCAGTTAGAGACTCGTTGGAAATTCCGAAATATTGGACAGTTTCTTTATTATATATTATGATGCCTGTGTGGTGTCCAACAGATCAAATCGAAAGTAGAGACCCGAATTAATCAAGTAAGTGGTAGATTATAGGTTTTTATCCTGTTGGACCATTTCCTTCTTTTGAATCAGCTGACGATCATGTGAAATCGATCTCACTTATCATCATTTTGAATAGTTGGTTTTGTCAGATGAAACTCTTGATGTAATTTTATGGTAAATGATTTACTGAATAGTAGTGTAGGATTGTTCATTGAAATCTTCGCGAATATTTACACTTACCAGTATGTCACAAGGAGTCAAATTGTTAATCAATCAGTTGCTTAACGATTTCACTAACCGCTATGAAAAGTGTAGTCTAGTTGGATGACGTAGTTACGAGATAATTGGAATAATTATGATCGGTGTGGGTTTGTGGAGATTGTTGGTTTTGATTGAGATGATGAATCGACCAAATTTAGGCGAAAGTTCTGATGATTTTGTAGAGAAGAATGTTTAGAGGCGGTAGATTGGTGACCAGTGAGATCGTCAATGAGATAGCGAAACACCACCTGTAAAAGTCTTTAAAGGGAAGTCCATCACATTGTTTTTACGCTATTTAACTAATATCAACCTCAGTAAATGAACACAAACATTCAATTTCACTAGTTTCATGTGTAGTTTAGTATTCAGTTGATTCGTCGAAATTTTCCAAGTTGAAAGAATAGTGTGGATGTTTGTTCTTTGCATCACTTTGTATTGTACTTTTCAAATCGTTATTAAATATATAGAAAATCTAAGATTATCTTTTCATGCCGGTGTGGTCGATACTGAACATCATCCGGGATTGTTAACGATTTATATGTTTATCTGATGTCTCACTTCCAGCTAACAATATGCTTTAGCATTTCGAAAGGTACACTGAGTGGAACGTACAGCAGTGTACTTGCACAAACATCGTCTGCGCATCTTATAAAATATTAATTAAACAATTCCCGTTATTATCAGCATCTTCACATACAAGCAATGTTACTGTTACTTATACTCATCTCGGTAAACTACTACTTATTAGTCATTGTTCAGTTTTCGTATCTTCGCATTCTTACTCAACCATTGTCACTACGTCGATAAATATCTCAAGAATAACAGCAAGTTTGAATACATGTAATTCTGTTCAGTAATTTATTCGCTTTCGTAATTGTCTCAAATTAGCTATTTGTAGTTCTGCAAAATATTCAGTGTACATTCTAGTGCTGCATGATAATCATGAGTTATTTTGATACATTTGGATTGATACTCGTCGAAGATGGACCTAATGGCTTATAAATAGGTAATGGATTCGAGAGATTCTGTTGAATAATAAAGTAAGTCAGGTTGTTGTGTAAATTGTCTGGACAATAATATATGCAGTGTGTAGTAAATGGAGATGAAACACTGGATTTGTTGTGAATTTGAAATCCAATAACTTAATAATATACTGAGGAGTATTAATTTTAAATCTTGACTAAAAGTGATGGGAAAGAGGAACTGATGTGAAGTTTGTTTGTTTTGATGCTTTTCTGATGACGATCTGTTTTTCAGTCATTGTAGTAAAGAGAGCTATATGGTAGGTAGAAGATAATCTTCAATCTTGCATTGATGAATCTGAATCATTTTAGCTTCCTACTTTATTTGAATAAGTTTCATTGATTTTTAGAAATTTATCAGTTAGAAGAGGATAAATGCTAAATATATTTCCCAAATATCTTGAAATCTGTATATTGATTAATCATTGAATGATCATATCTATATCATCTTCATTTAGTCTTTAGGGCTGATCAAGCTGCAGTTTAGAAATTTGTCTGATTTACTATTTATCTCATGAGTTATGTCTTGATTTGATTTGATGTGTGCGTCGTTCGTCTACAATTAGTTCACATTTTTAGGTTTGTTCACTCAGTCGATCGTGTTGCCTAAATGTATTTCCTGGTAATTCGTTTTTCATTAAATGTTGTGACTTTAATGGTGAATATTCTCAAATGTTTTATAGGATGATTCAATACATCAATATTCTTTAATCGTGATGTATATATTTGTCTATTCGTAACGTCTTAAGCAGTGGAAATTTGAATTTATGACGTTTCATTACTTAATGTAAGCCACCTCTCCAGAGAACAAATAAATGAATACTTATGTTAATTTAATTAAGTTATTGATTACCTGAGATATTGGTTTACATTGAGTCAACAAATGTTACGTGGCAAATTATATACTCACTTGAACTTGAGACAAATATATCATTATATCTATTAGTTTGAATCTATTCAATGCTCAGTCTGTTCAAATTTATTAAGTTGAACCATGCTAATGATACTTACAGACTTATTGCTCAAATAATAGTGTCTCATTTCCCAAAGAGAATTAAGTAATATCAGTTTTATAGCGACTGTCGTGGAAGAAATTTTAATTAGAATAATAATAATTATTAGCACGTTGACGAATAGAACAATAGTTTTGTAAGTTGACAAAATGTTTTATTGATTCATTGTGATCCATTGGAGATTTAGTAGAGATATTTACATTAATCTGATACATATCAGAAATAAATTCAGTTTCACACTGTTATATTTCAATGAGACCTGTTGGCTAGACTATAATTTATGGACGAACCGATCAGATTTAGTATAGCATGTATGGGATTTTGGCATGAAATCCATTTATCCATTTGACTAAATAGCGTTTTGACATTTTAGGTGACGTCATTTCGTAATGAAAACCCTAAATCTAATACTTAACATTAACCATCCACTGTAAACGATAATCTGTATTCTTAATATAGGTTTATTTATTTCAGTCTGTACTGAATAAATGGTCTACGAATAAATATAGTTTTTTTCCTGCATTTAACTGATCAATTTTCAGGAATTCCTAGGGTTTTAAACTTATTAACTCAGACTGGTGAAGTAACTAGCCTTAGTTACCTATAAATTAGTCTTTATTATTCATTACAACGAACCTTAAAATATAGAATGATGACTGATATACAGTAAAATTGAGTTCTTTTCTCAATTGATTGATCACTGAGCGGTGATCACTGTCATATGTATCAAGTCCTTCTTAGTGCAGATCGATTGCTATCGACTAAGTTGTTATGTGGCCACTAGTCTAGGTGATTCAACATTACTTGCACTATGTTGAGATAAGATGGTGGTTAGAGGTAGTCAATAGGAAACCCTGAACCCGAGTTTCGTGTTACTTGGCACTCGTCAGCAAGGTGTACCTGTAACCCATTAGTAAAACGTTTTTGTAATAACTTTACTTACTTACAATATTGTTATTTTCAATAGTTCAACCCGAAAAAAATACGTCACATCTCTTAAAAAGAACGTTATAAATAATTATGAATCTGCTGTTAGTAACATCTAAACAATCACTACGTAAAGTACATTAGTAAAAATAATAGTCTAATTGTTATAATTCTCTCTTATTACAACCCAGCTATTCCTATTGCTTAGTAGTCTTGGACACCAATTCACTCGACAGGTCCTCAAATCGGAACACAGTTGACCATGAGAAAGATTAAATTCCAAATAACAAGGTTAGATGGAGGTAAGAAGCACAGTAGGAAAAACGTTAGCATATTTATAGCTTTTACATGAGATTTTAAAATGTCCTCTAAGTATCGACTAACGCTGACTGGCTAATTCTTAACCAATCAGCGCGCACCAAAGCAATCGTGCATTGAACATGCTTCAATCCAATCTATATCACGCTAACACTGATAGTTCCTGTTTACGAAGGGTCAATCTTACAATTATAATAAAAAAACAGAAGCATTTTTTATACATAGAATTTATTTTAAATTCAATCAAAAAACATTAATCTATTTTACAAAATAATGTATATATATATACAGTACAAATTTATTGATTTTATAATTCATTATGTTTTAATTGTGAATCGTTGTACTCATTATCATGATCATAATCATCATTATCATCTTTAATTAAGTTTTGTATAGCTACAATTAAGAAAAAAAAACAAATTAATGGTCATGATTATTGATTTAATCATTATAATAACTACTTACTTGAATTAATAAAATTCAATGCTAATTTTCCAAATTTAGCTAAATTTTGTTTAAACATTTTAATTTCATTTTTTCCAATATTCTTTTCAAACCAATTATGTAATAGATTGGCATAATCGAAACCAGCATTAATTAATTCTTCAGTCTATAATGTTTTTATTTTTTTTTAATGATTCATCAATGAATTAATGAATAGAACCTACAATGATAGATAAATCTGAATCGTCTTGTTCATCATTACAATTTATAAAACTTATAATTAAGCTTAGATATAAAATAAGAGATAGGTGCATATTTGTAAAGTGTGAATTAATATATTACTGATTGATCAATAATATTTATTTATATACGGATTGTATGATTAGTTATATCATGAAAATAATTAAGATTGGTGCGTGTTACCATTCAAGGTTACTGATTAATTTTTCAACCAATAAGAGTTGTAGATTTGTATCTGTATAAAATAAATGAAATTAAATAAAATTTGATAAATTAATCTTGTTTACATAAACAATAGTAAATAAATAACTATTATTAAGATGTAAATTATAAGGTGACACAAAAACTTATACTAAAACATGAATTAATAGTTTTCTATAGATTGATGACGTAATCTGTATAGTCTGTTATACATTATCTAATAATCATAGATTGAATTATTTATTAGCGTTTCGTCATGAAAATATGAAGCCCACATCAATGAAATACATAGAACTTCTAATAGTTCATTAAATATATTACGTTTATGTGTTTTAAGCGCTCTCTCGCGAGACTGATTGGTCCTGGGTTCGAATCTCGCGGGAGGCGAGATTATAGATGCGAACTGATGACGAGTCCCACAATAGGACGAAACGGCTGTCCAATGCCTCCAGGTTTTTCATTGTGATCTAGCTTCAACTAACTGATGATCTCAACCATTATATTAAATAAATTTTAGAATCAGAAAAGAGTTTCGTGTATATTATAGTAGATTGATAGTTGAATTCATGAGTTAACTAAAGTTAAACCACCAACGACCGTTTCGCCCTATTATAGAACTCCTCAAAAGTGTGCATCCACGATCTGATTCTCGGAATTCAAATCCAGGACCTATCAGTTTGGTGCACAAATGCTTACATTTTAGAATGAATTTAATCAGTAGTGATTAAACCATTTTCAAAATGAAAGTTTATTAAACAGAATATATGTGAGAAAACAAAATTTATCAAATACTACTGAAATGAAATAGAATTTAGTATTATACTTATACTAAACTGAAAAATTAATATTTTTCAGATAAAACAATTTTATTTTAATGAAAAACAAACAAACAAAATTATTAGAAAAGTATATTGTAAATTTCTATTTAAAAATGTGGAAACTGTAACATAGTACAGATAATGCAAAACAGTTTCAATGCAATAATATACATATCTATGTGATTCTCTATATAATTAGTGAAAACTGACATTATTTTCACAACATGTAGTAGAGTTCATCTTATAAGAACAAAATATTATCTAAAATATTTATTGGGTTGATTAAAGTCTTTAAAATAACTATAATTAGTGGATTTACTAATTAAAAGAAAACATATTGATTTGTTTGGTGATTATCTAATTGGATGAACAATATGTTAATTTAACCTATAAGGACTTACAGTTACTGGGATGGGCTCAGTTGTTCATCTTAAAAAAATGTGAATATCTTTTGGTATTGCTTTGCTTGTATCTTACCATTGAGTCCATTGAGTGAACATCAACTCTGAGATCCAGGTACATCCAGCTGACGAGTCTCAAATAGGACGAAACGCGCGTCCTGGATTCCACTGCTAGCCACTATCCATCTTTGCTCATAAATGTGAACATCTGTTCACTTTTTTTACATAATATTATACAAATTATTTACAATGATAAAATTATGAATCCTGAAACTGTTATATTGTATGAAGATCTAAATTGATAGGTAATAAAATATTCTATACTATTTAGCATCGAAAACAAGAAATCTATTGATTTTCTAAAAGAAATTTGGAATCAGTAGACTTATTGAATCAGGTATTACTAATATGAAGAATATATTTTAGTGTTTGCTTAATTACAGTAAGATTCATGCTAACTACTTAGAACTACTAAGGTATAAAGTAACATTTTAAAAATACACCTAAGAATGTTAATGTATAAAATTCGATACCAAAATATCGTTTGATCGAACTCAAGCTTATTTATGTCATTTGTGCACTTAAAAATTTTAGTGACGATTTTATAAGTAATTGTTCGAAATATTTTTCTTGATGTTAAAGAATGCATAGAATAATTATTAAGTATCAGATATTATTTTTATACGACGACAGACTAACGTAACCAGGTACTTGAGTAGTACACCTGAAGAAGGGCTAGTACATGGTTGGTTAAGGATAGATTTAAAAAGCTATTACTTCATTCACAAGAAATATGAACTTTGGGATAGTTTTTATGCGAAATTTAAAACTTTAGAATATCTTGACAACAGGATACTGAATCTATATAGGAATAATAAACAAAATTTCTTTTGTATATATGTTTTGACTTAGAGATAAAAGAATGAAAAAATATAAATACGTTGATCACTCAGTAAATATACACCTAATAATCTTCACTAGGTAATTTCTTACAGGTTCTTGGTTATTCATCATTGCAATTTATCATATCTAGGTAAACAGCACTCCTAAGTTTATTACTGTTGGGGTATTCAGAAAATACCCCAGAAATTATCTAATGCTATTCCTGAATGAGAAGTAGTGTCATTTCCCCATTGGTCAACATTCTTCCAACGTGTCATCTCCTTATTGATCAATATTTATTTGTGTCATTTCCTGAAGGTTAAATCTTGTACAAATGTTACTTTCTATTTTATGGTACGATGTAGTCTGTTTGATTGCTATATAAACAGAGTATGTTTGAAATATAATGATTCATATCTCCGAGGCTGAGACTTGTGTTCTGGACTCAATTGGCTGGGCTAGACAGGGAAGCAGGACCAATCAGGACTCTAGGCTGCTCGCTCGTATTTTATGCGTCACTGTTTCGATCGATAATAGGCTGCTCTCTAATAGGCGGATCACACGTTATAACAATTACCGACCCCAAGTACGAGTAAAAGACGAGGTTTGGGCATAGGTTAACAACCCCATCCCGTAGGAAACTACCTTGTTAAAATAACGTTAAATAGAAAAACTATCTACACCATTTAAACTATGTCCACAGAGTTGAAGGATCTTCATTCAGGAAAATTATGATACCTCATGGTCAAAGCCGAGGTTCGCCGCAAGTCACATGGCCGATGCCCTCAAAGCAACAATTAATATAGATACTTGGAATGTTCAGACAATGTGGGGGACCGAGAGGACCAATCAAATAGCTGCATGAATAAAGAGACACAATTGTTAGTGCTCAGAAGTAGTAAAACCCATTAGACCCAAGCTGAACGGAAAAGGAGAAACTAGGGAGAGATGTTGCTGTATTCTGGTTACGAAGGGGACAATGCTCCACATACCCAGGGAGTTGCTCTGATGCTGTCCAAAGAAGCACGTAATTCACTTATCAGGTTAGGATCTCATGGATCCAGGGTCATCAGAGCATCATTCAAAACAAAGAATGAGGAGATCACAATGAATGTTATCCAGTGATATGCACCTACCAATGATAACAACGACGACAATAAAGATTAGTTTTACAAAAAGTTGCAATCGACCGTAGAGAACAGTAAATTGAATGGGATTCATCACTATACATCAACTTCCTTGACTGTGAGAAAGCGTTTGACGATGTGGATAGGCGAACATTATGGAGCCCTCTTCGACACTATGGTGTACCTGAGAAGGTAGTCAACATCATATGGAATTCATTCGACGGACTACACTGCAAGGCAGTGTATGGAGGACAGCTGACAGATGCATTCCATGTTTAGATCGATGTCACACAAGGCTGCCTACTCTTGCTTTTATGCCTTCCTTCTAGTGGTTGAATGGATTATGGGAGCACGGAACACAATGGACAGGTTGGATGCAACTAGACGATTCGAACTGTTGTCAGCAGTCGGATCGCTTAAATACACGTTGGATGTTATACCTAATCGATTTGAAGTGAAACAAGATCTATGTTAATCAGGTTTGTTGGTGTACTTCTTCGGCCATATTCCTTTAAGATAATTGCATAAGACATTTGAGTACATTCTTAATTTCATCAGAAGTATATCTATTTTACAAACATGATGAATATCAATTATATTGTGAAACTTCCAATGCCAATGAATAACTGTCTCAGAAAAGTTATGATAGCATTGTACAAAACGAAGTTTAGGACAAAATTAGTCCGATTATCTGACAATTCGTCGCATCTGTAGTTATGAATATTTATAGGGTGGTCATCAGCAATCCGATTATTTGCCATGTTTTATTTCCCTAATCGTAGAGATAAAAAGGGGTTAGTTTTAAAATTCATTCACTTTGTCAACTCTCAGCCATAATTTTCCTTGTGAATATTCCTGGCACATCTTAGAAAATGTTGAAGTATAAAGGAGGTAATTAGCCTTACGTGACTTTGTTATTTCATAAAATTATCATTTAACCAAATATCTGGGTGGTATGACTAAAGGCATTGAAACTTAATTTATTAAATATGACATTTTACCCATATCAGTGTAGTCAAACTGTATAGAAACTTGATTTTTATATCCTTAGCCTTTATTAGAATGTTTTCATAACAGATCTTATATCTCCGTCAAAATGCTTTCATAATATTTTGAAAATATTATTGCTGAATCATTATACTCGCCAGTATGTGTGAAGGTTGATCTAGCTGTCAGGTGGTTCTGCGTAATCATCGATAATTTAATAAACAGTTATAATGAAAGACAATATACATAAGGAAATGTAGTATTTTAAAGCATCTACAATGTTGGCATGCAAGGAATAGATCGTAATACGACTTGAGATCTTAATAAAAGTGACATATTTGAGTAGTTTATTTCAAAAAGCCTGCTTCTAAAAATATACATTTTATTCAATGACAATATATATTTGTTGAATAATTCTAAGGTGAAATTTCATAGCATAAATTTACTATTGATTGGTTACTGAGCATTGACCAGTGTTATGCATGTGAAGTAACCCTTAGTATTGAACAAACTTCACAAAGTGGTCACCAGTCTAACTGAGTAAATCGATAAAATTAGACTACCACTAAGAAGGCACTGATATACGCAACAATGGTTACTGACAAATGATTGGTATTTGAAGAGAGAATCAAGACGAAACCAAAATTATTTCACAAAT